ATATATATATATATATATATATTGCATATGTGTTCCTTGTTGAGCATATCAGGCTTTTATGACTCATATAGTATGATATAGTGAGAATATGGCGCTCAAACTGGAGGAGGAAACACACTTCAATTCAGAGCCAGAAACTGAGTAAAAATATGCAATTTGGTGAAGATGCTGATAATTATATGGCCAAAATCCAGATTATAATGTAAATCAATTAGATATTTATAACAGTATACTGACATAAAATGCATATAAATATCAGTTGTCACTCTATATCTCCCAAAAATACTGTATGTCTTATAAGATGATATTTAAATGCTTAGTTTTATGTTCAAAGCTCTGCGCTTTTTATTAACATATAATGCAATACAATGATGATCGAGAGACGAACAAATAAATATTCCTCAAAAGCCTGATGGTTACATGATACATTTTAACATGATTTTTCTAGAAAATGATGCATTATCATAATCAATGTAAATCACCTAAGTTGCTTCAGTCCAGTAAGTGTTCATCAATATTACTAAAAGCTATATTAACTTTATAAAAATCAGTAAAGATTTCACATGAACTACGAGCTGAAGGTGGACTTTTTTTTACATTATATTAAAAGGCCTTGTAGTTGCTAAGAAAGTATAAACTAGAAGGCTTGTAGTAGTTTATCAGCAAAGTTTTGATCACAAAGAGGCCATCGGAATTTGCATAGGCTATCAAATATGATACAGTAAGGTATATAGGGTTAACTTTTCATGTGATTGCCCTTAACTGAGTTGCTAACGGAACCCGGCTCTTTTGGGCAGTTTGGAGAAGCTCGGCACACTCATCCTGGACTGCAACAACTACAGCGCGCATGTCAAATTCCCCTACATGCCCAGCCTCACCACCCTGTGGATCAACAAGAACAAAATCAGCAACCTGCCCATTATTGTGGAGGAGATCTGCTGCAAGTTCCCAAACATCAAGTGAGTTCATCAGCTTTCTGCAGCAGAATTCCATTCACGCATGCATTAACTACTCATAATGTTTTTACACTTCCTGTGATTTACCTGCTTGGTTGCATTGTAGAATTCTCAGTATGATGAACAATGAAGCGGCACCCAGTTACTTTAATGGAGGCAGTTTCACGCAGTATATGGATTACAGGTAAGCATTAGTAGAGATGTATGAAATCTACAGTAATGTAGTATTATATTGCAAATATGTACATATATTTTACTATGTTAACATATACACGTTAGCATAATTTTAAAACTAGTATTTCTTATGGAAATAATATACTCTAAAAGAACTTAAGTGTGAACTGAATGCAATGTTTTCGGATAGCATGTTAATTGCAATTAAATAGAAATGTATTATAGTTTAAATTGATCTTACAGAGAGCAGCGTCTTAAGTAGGACTTATGTACATATTTATGTGTAATTTCGTAAATTCTATTGTCTTTGAAACATACTTAAAGTACTGCTGAATGCACTGACAAGCATTATAGTAAATTAAAATATATTTTGATACCATTTCTATTGAAACTTCTATGTCATGTATTTAAATATGTAATTACACATTTGTAATGATAAAGTTGCAATTTAGTAAAAATGTATTAACTTTAATTAATTAAATATTTTAAATGAGTTAATATTAACGTTAAATATCGAATTACACACTACAGGTAAAATTACAATCAAGTACTTTACATGTGCTTTAGTATGTTAGTCATCAAAATAAGTGTGCCATAAGTTTGTCATTCATTATCAGAGTCTGATAGTGCACTTTTTCTTTTTGGAATTTTCAGTGGTTTCGAATTTCGAATTTTCGAAACGTCACAGAATAGTGCATAAGTACGTGATTTGGGACACACCTAGTGTCTCTCTTTAAGTCACTTAAGTGGCCTTTTATTTCATTAATGTTACATTATCTGCAAGTACAGTTTTTTTTTTTTTTTATATATACTTCCAAGATTTGAAGTGCACTATGTTCAATAGCGTTTAGTGCACTTCTTTTTCACAAGAGTGTACTAACATCTAGTGGACATGTTGTCTAGTGTCCAATATCTTAATGAGTAAGCTGTGCTTCAGTATTTATGCCAATAAGTTCAGCAATCAGTTACAAACTGAATTTGGCAAACCAGACTATGTGTTACATTAAAGCCTGTAGTTTAGCCCAAATATAATCTATAAATTGAATATGTAGACTAATATGTAGAAGCCATATTAACTACTGTATGACAGGGAGTATGTGATCAGTCAGATCCCCGGTCTGGAGGTGCTGGGTGTATGAGAAAGATCGTGAAGTGGCCCGAAAGACCTACAGGATGCAGAGAATGAGAGAAGGCAGCCGGAGGAGGAAGGACCTTCATCGCTAACACTAATCATATCACACGCTTCCCCCGGGCCTCGAGCCAAGCCTCTTATAATCCACAACAACCACAGCACTCCTTCCAGACTTCAGGAGCTTCAAAGCCTGCTGACAGAAAGTCAATTTACTAATGCACCAGATTCGTATTTAAATTTATGCGTGAAACTACAACAAATACAAATGTTGTGTCTTCTTTCATTTTGGAAGAAATAATGTGAAAAAAATTAATTTCAGATTTTTTTTTTCTCTGTAAAGATACATGAGAGGGAGAGGGATATTTACAGAAAAGAGAATGTTGAACATGTTAGCATGCAACCTAATAAATGTTTAAAGTATCTGCCCCACACATCCACACTTTTTATAAAGAAAAACATATTTGAATAAAGCAAAAACATCCGATTCAAAGCCACTATAAATAAATATTGGACATAATTTGAATTCCATATTAATGTGACAAGTTGCCACCATTTAAATAAAAAAAGCAATAAGCCGGTAACACTGCAATCTAGTTTATTGCTCTGATATATCGGAATTTGCATAGGCTATCAAATATGATACAGTAAGGTATATAGGGTTAACTTTTCATGTGATTGCCCTTAACTGAGTTGCTAACGGAACCCGGCTCTTTTGGGCAGTTTGGAGAAGCTCGGCACACTCATCCTGGACTGCAACAACTACAGCGCGCATGTCAAATTCCCCTACATGCCCAGCCTCACCACCCTGTGGATCAACAAGAACAAAATCAGCAACCTGCCCATTATTGTGGAGGAGATCTGCTGCAAGTTCCCAAACATCAAGTGAGTTCATCAGCTTTCTGCAGCAGAATTCCATTCACGCATGCATTAACTACTCATAATGTTTTTACACTTCCTGTGATTTACCTGCTTGGTTGCATTGTAGAATTCTCAGTATGATGAACAATGAAGCGGCACCCAGTTACTTTAATGGAGGCAGTTTCACGCAGTATATGGATTACAGGTAAGCATTAGTAGAGATGTATGAAATCTACAGTAATGTAGTATTATATTGCAAATATGTACATATATTTTACTATGTTAACATATACACGTTAGCATAATTTTAAAACTAGTATTTCTTATGGAAATAATATACTCTAAAAGAACTTAAGTGTGAACTGAATGCAATGTTTTCGGATAGCATGTTAATTGCAATTAAATAGAAATGTATTATAGTTTAAATTGATCTTACAGAGAGCAGCGTCTTAAGTAGGACTTATGTACATATTTATGTGTAATTTCGTAAATTCTATTGTCTTTGAAATATACTTAAAGTACTGCTGAATGCACTGACAAGCATTATAGTAAATTAAAATATATTTTGATACCATTTCTATTGAAACTTCTATGTCATGTATTTAAATATGTAATTACACATTTGTAATGATAAAGTTGCAATTTAGTAAAAAAAATTTAACTTTAATTAATTAAATATTTAAAATGAGTTAATATTAACATTAAATATTGAATTACACACTACAGGTACAATTACAATCAAGTACTTTACATGTGCTTTAGTATGTTAGTCATCAAAATAAGTGTGCTTCTTTAAAGCACAATAAAAGATTATTAAAACAGAATGATTTGAAATGTATTTTACAGTAAAATGTTTCATTTGACATTATCATAAAATGTACTTTTAAAAAGTGTACTTAAGTGTTTTAAGAAACATGAAAGTAGCTGCGTCCCAAATTATGCACTATACACTATGCACTTATGCACTATGTACTCAGTCATGTAGTGTGTGAATTATATAAGGTTATTCTGTCATTCATTATCAGAGTCTGATAGCGCACTTTTTCTTTTTGGAATTTTCAGTGGTTTCGAATTTCGAATTTTCGAAACGTCACAGAATAGTGCATAAGTACGTGATTTGGGATGCACCTAGTGTCTCTCTTTAAGTCACTTAAGTGGCCTTTTATTTCATTAATGTTATATTATCTGCAAGTAGTTTTTTTTTTAAATATATACTTCCAAGATTTGAAGTGCACTATGTTCAATAGTGTTTAGTGCACTTCTTTTTCACAAGAGTGTACTACCATCTAGTAGACATGTTGTCTAGTGTCCAATATCTTAATGAGTAAGCTGTGCTTCAGTATTTATGCCAATAAGTTCAGCAATCAGTTACAAACTGAATTTGGCAAACCAGACTATGTGTTACATTAAAGCCTGTAGTTTAGCCCAAATATAATCTATAAATTGAATATGTAGACTAATATGTAGAAGCCATATTAACTACTGTATGACAGGGAGTATGTGATCAGTCAGATCCCCGGTCTGGAGGTGCTGGATGACACAGAGGTGCAGGAGAAAGAGCGTGAAGTGGCCCGAAAGACCTACAGGATGCAGAGAATGAGAGAAGGCAGCCGGAGGAGGAAGGACCTTCATCGCTAACACTAATCATATCACACGCTTCCCCCGGGCCTCGAGCCAAGCCTCTTATAATCCACAACAACCACAGCACTCCTTTTATGGAACCATTTTTGCATATTCAGCAGATCTAAAACCTGAGGGAAAACGTCAGATTCTTAGTTCAACAAACCTTGTAAAAAGGTGTAACTGATACTTAATGCATCAATTAAATCGACTAAGTTTGATACTTGCGTATGTCTGAAAAAGATTCCTGATGCAATCTTAAGGCCCCAAGATCTTGCTGAAGTTGGTTGATGAGAAAGAGCTAGTTTGAGTCAGAATCACTTGATGAATGAAAAGGACTAGGCCGGAGCCTGGCACGAGCTTTGGTATCCTGGAGCGTTTCTCACATCTTCATCTTAGCATCTCACTGAACCACCGAACAGGGGCGGGTCACATGGAGTGTGGCCTTTTAAAGCCTGCAGAGATTCACGCCTCTCAAGATGGGTTCGTCCAATGAGGAAGGCTGAAATCCCAAGCGGGAGGTTGGAAATACTGAGGATTTTTATGAGTCTTTGTCTGTAAGCATGGTATTTTGCATATGTAATTCGCTGGAGTGTTGAGGCACAAATTAGTACCGCTTCTTAGAACATCAATATGTTGCATAGGTATCAGCATATAATATACACACTTGTTTCGATCATAGGAAGGCGAATTCATAGATACTAGACATGAAATAGTTACTTATATGAATGTGTGGTTTATCGTAAGCACGGATAAAAATAGTCTATAATACAACAGATTAAATACAACACAGCAATAATATACACAATGGCCTGAAGAAAATGGTTGTTCATTCAAAGAAGGTTTTCCTATGAATTAATTAGTAGAAAAGTCAGTTTCTCCTGTGCATTTGTGCCTTTCTTATGAGGAAAATGAGGGAGTTTATCTCCTGCATTCCTTTTAGGCCATAAAACCAGTGATATCAGCATTGGTTACCATGGAACCAGAGGCCTGTTCTGCTTTTCTGAGGTGTTAGGTGCATTTCGGGGGAAGGGTCCATAGACCCTCGTAATTGGCCATTTGGTTAGGTGATGGGGAGTTCGATATTATTTGTTAAATATAACAAAAAGTTGTGTGTCTGATTGGTCCAAATGCTACATTAAATATTAGTTTTTTTTTATTTATACCCTTCAGAAGCTAATACTTACATGTTTCCCAGAAGCCTACAGTTTACCATGCATCCAATTCAGAAAGTTTGCACACTTTCTGACACTTACTGATGCCTCTTTTTTTGATTAGTAGCCCAATCTATTTTCAATTTCACTATAAATTATTATTATTAGTTTAGATAGTTAGGCCTATACTTATTCTACTAGCAGGCCTACATATTCCTTTGCTACACTGTAAAAAATGACCGTGAATTTAACGGTAAAAGACTGTAAAAATGCTACAGTAAAAACCTGTTAAATGGTTAACGGTAAATTCCCCTACTATATACGGTGAAAAACGATATTGGACATTATATGTATTGGACATTCATTTTACGGTAGTATACCGTTTTTGGATGTGAAAAAGACAGTTTAATAGCCAGTGAATAACCGTAAATTGACATTCCCAGAATTCCCTGCGCATTTCAAATTTGATGTTTTTTTTTGTTGAAATAACTGTTTCTTCTTATTTTTTTCTTATCAGTTTTGTATATCAGGATTGTGTTTTACACCTAATGTTGTTAAATAAATGTTTATTGCATTATTTCAGTTTCATGTGTGTTACCGTGATGGTGTTTAGTGTTTGTGTGAATGACGCTGTGCACCTTCTATATATGTAATTATTTAAAAGCTGCTTGTGATGGGCTTTGGTTCATCATGTGACTTTCTCATCACCTCCTGCATTTGGTTGTTATCAGTATTACGAAGGTACAAAACAGATTTCAGTACTTCAATAGGTTGGTATATTAACATTATATCAGTTAATGAAATTACGGTATTTAACTGTAAAGTTAAGTTAAAACCGTAAAACCTAAAACGTTGCTACTGTATTTTTTACGGTAAAATTCCGGCAACCACAGCTGCCGTTTTTTTTACCGTAAATTTTACAGTGTACTACTATTGTACGTCGGAGTTTTAGATATGCGTAAAAATATTGAAAATTACGAGAATAAAGTCATAATAGTCGGAATAAAGTTAAAATGACAAGAATAAAATCTTAGCAACAGATTAAAGTAATAATATTTCAAGAATAAAGTCAAAGTTACAAGAAGTCGTAAGTCGCATCAATAGTCTTTGCAACACAAGATTAAAGTCAATGTTTTGAGGACAGAATTTAATGCATTGTAAATAAAACTCGTAATATTTTGAGAATAAAGTCACAATTATTTGAGAACAAAGTAGCAAAGAATAAGTCTTAGTAATGCGAAATTAGTAATGTTTTTGAGAATAAAGTAGCAGGTACAAAACAGATTTCAGTACTTCAATAGGTTGGTATATTAACATTATATCAGTTAATGAAATTACGGTATTTAACTGTAAAGTTAAGTTAAAACCGTAAAACCTAAAACGTTGCTACTGTATTTTTTACGGTAAAATTCCGGCAACCACAGCTGCCGTTTTTTTACCGTAAATTTTACAGTGTACTACTATTGTACGTCGGAGTTTTAGATATGCGTAAAAATATTGAAAATTACGAGAATAAAGTCGTAATAGTCAGAATAAAGTTAAAATGACAAGAATAAAATCTTAGCAACAGATTAAAGTAATAATATTTCAAGAATAAAGTCAAAGTTACAAGAAGTCGTAAGTCGCATCAATAGTCTTTGCAACACAAGATTAAAGTCAATGTTTTGAGGACAGAATTTAATGCATTGTAAATAAAACTCGTAATATTTTGAGAATAAAGTCACAATTATTTGAGAACAAAGTAGCAAAGAATAAGTCTTAGTAATGCGAAATTAGTAATGTTTTTGAGAATAAAGTAGCACTGGGATTAAAGTCGTCATATTTTGTCAAAATCAAAATCGTAGCAATACAAGAATATTGAGCTCAAAGAAGAAATGATAAAAAGTCATAACATTGTAAGAATAAATAAAAATATTTGCAGAATAAAGACAAAATTACATCACAGTAATACGAGACTTAAGTATTTTATGAAGACTATTCTCGTAATTTTGGCTTAACTAGAAAAAAAACTATTAAAATAAAAAAATCATTATTAGTCAATACATAGGTAATGAGATAAGAAATATTTATGAATTACTATCGCTAGACACTAGTCAAAAAGTCAGGTGTCATTGGGTTACTTACTAATAAATAAAATAGGTAGGGCTACTAGTAATGCAAAAATAGACACAAGCTAGTTTTAAAGGAGTAAACAGCTTGCCACATATATTTTGTAATTCAACAGGTCTGAAAAGTTACTTTAAGTGTGTGTGTGTGTGTGTGTGTGTGTGTGTGTGTGTGTGTGTGTGTGTGTGTGTGTGTGTGTGTGTGTGTGTGTGTGTGTGTGTGTAAGTGTGCAAGTGTATATGCTGCTCATTTAGAGGAATTACGGTAAAACATCAACGTTAAAGAGGCCGAACGAACATCTAGTGACAGCAGCGCTCAAATCTACTAAAACACTACAGTACACACTACGAGGTAAGCACTAAACAAGCTGTTACACAGCGCTTCATGAACATTACTGCATGCTGCATGCTTACATCTACATCTCCGCTCATATTAGCGTTTAAGTTCATCGTTTTTGTACAGTTGTCTATCAGGCTAATATCGGGAAGCTCCGTGCTGTTGCATATTAAAAGCATGCAGCTGAAGTTATTAGCACGAGCGTTATGGCAGCTTAAATGTGTGCGTGTTAGTGCGAGATGGAGTGGAAATATCAGCAGTTTCGACTCTTGTTTGGTTGAGTGCACGTGAGCTAACCAGCTATCAGCTGACTGACAATGAATGAACTGAAAGTGCACGCGCTAATAGTGTAGTTGCTGGTGTAAAGTTAGTGCAATTGCACATTACTTTTATGTGACATCGTGCACTGGCTTCAGTAAATCATTCTCTAGTTCCTGGAAGACTGAGAAGCACAGAGCCTTATTTCATAGTCCAGAGTCTATCACACACAACCATACTGAACTCTCACTGCCTGACTGTAGAAAATGGCATTGGGTCACGAGACTGGGTGGAAATGCACAGATATTGCCTCAGATTAATCTTCATTCTGTTTGTTATGCTTGGCTCTGAGTCTCATGCTTTGAGATATCAGATGGTGATGCACTGGAGTAACTTAAAGCTGGTTCCTGGTGATTCTGCAGTCAGATATGTTTTGTTTGTAAGGTGTTATAAACTGCAGAGGAATTACATTTCTTATGATGTGACCTTGGCCAAAGTGGGGTCCGTGAAAAATGTTTAGAAAAATATATATTTATTTAATTTACTTGTTTATTTTTGCACTAATTTATTGACTTATTTATATGCATTTATTTCAATTGATTTTATTTATTTATTTAGATTCAAACAATCACACGAATAACAAAACAAAAAAAAAATTTAAATGAATGCATAAATATTTTTGTGTTTGAATTAGATTGAGCGAGAGAGAGATTTCGATTCAAACAAACAAATAAACATAAATAAAATTGCTTAACATAAATGTGTACTGAATAAACAAGCAAGTAAATAAAATCTATTTTGGTGTTAATTTTTGTATATTTATTTTATTTATTTAGATTCAAACAAAAAACCGAATAAGTAAATAAATGAGTACTGAATAAATAAATATATAATAATAATGAATGAATCTGTTTTTGTGTTTGTTTGAATCTAAAATGTATATATTTATTTTATTTATTTACATTCATAAAAACCAAATAAATGCATTTTGATTGATTCGTAATGAATATACAATAAATAAATTAATATATCAGTACAGCACTAAAATGAGTTGGGGGGGGAGGAATAAAACTAACAAAATATTTTCCGAATATTTATAATATTATGTTTTCACATGCAAGAATCTATAAAGATCCCTTTTACATTTTAGGTCCCTCGCACAAGAATGGTCATGTTTAGGGGCATCTAAAAGATTGAAAAACCTTGGTTTAAGTCATAATACTGGCGTCTAATCCCTCAATCATTTGCTGTAAATCTGCCGTCCCTGCAGGGATTATAGTTGTTCAGCCGGCTCGGTCGGTTCTTGTCTTCTGTGTGATGTGTTGCACAATTCTGCTGCTGTTCGAGCAGGAAAAAGACACTTTGCTTGCTGCACAGCGTGGCCTCATTGCCTGCTCGTATCCCAGGAGAACTGAGCTAAACGTGTTAACATGATAGCACGAGAAGACCTGCTGGGGTGGAGCACCAGGGGCTCTTATGCCCTCATTTTTCTTCTAAGGTTTAAATGAAGTCGTTGCTGCCTTCTGCTGTAGTAATGTTGATTTATTGCAAAATCAGAAATGGTTAAAAATGAACAATCAGTCATTGAATGAAAATGATATTGCATTACTAAAAAAAATAAAGAATGAACATCTGAAGTATTTAAGCACAGATGGATATATGTTAGCTGGGTTAACTAATCAGCTTGTCTATTAACCGCTGCATTTTATACATTTACATTTAATCATTTGGCAGATGCTTTTATCCAAAGCGACTTACAAAAGAGGACAATAGACGCAAATAGAATAGTTAAGTGCTAGTATTAGCTGGCGAAAAAGATGTCTTTCGGACGTTTTTTTTTTTAAATGGCTAAAGACTCAGCTGCTTGAATTGAAAGTCACAATACAAAGTCATTTACATTGCATTCAGTGTCTTCATTTGATCAGCTCATGCATTCCCTGGGAATTGAACTCATGTCCTTGGTATTGCTAGCCATGTTTTCTTATTATTTGAATAAAATAATGTTATTATATTTGGACTGTGCCTCATTCAGGAGCATTAAATTGTATTAAATATCAGCATATCAGCCACTTTATTATTGAACAAGTGTTGCTCATAATCAGTGTAATTTTAGTATTTATGACATAAAATAACATGATTTATAAATTTGATTAATATTTAGAACTGGCTTATATAATATAACAAAATATAATATTTTTTTGTAGTAATTCTATGTGCTTTTGTCATTTTATTAGTTCTTTCTTCTTATATATTTGTATTTATCTTTAGATTTATTTCTATTTCAATTTTAGTCATTTTAGTACTTCACCTTAAACTGAATTCTCCAAGGCAGTTTAACTCTAATAATCATACTTTATTTAATTTGAGCTTTATTTCAATTAGGGTTGCAAAGGGGAGGAACATTTCTGGTAAATTTCCGGAAACTTTCCAAAAATCCCTGGAATATTCCAACAACAACAAAAAAAAAAATCCTGGAAATTTTCCAAAATTTACTGGAAATTTTCCACCGTTTTGCAACCCTAATTTCAATTAGTGAAAATTATTTTTAGTCGTAGTTAACAATAACAACACTGGTCATAATTAGTATAGCACTGGCACATTTTATCGTTCGCATCAGTCCGCTCATCTGTTATCTGTTACTCCGCTAGAGTTGTTACTTCTTTTGCCTCTTTTGAGTAGATCTGTAATCTCGTTTTCCCCCAAATTTGAACTTTTATTAAGTAAAACATCGGCTAAAATCAGAGCTAAATAGTTTTTACTTGTCTACATTTTGTCTGAAATATCAGTTATGCATTATCACATTATTTATGATATTGCATAGTTCACCCAATAATGAAAATGTCTTTCCAATCCCATAACTTTTAAACACAGATGAAGATATTTTTAATAAAACCTGTGAGATTTCTGTACTTCCATTCACCCAAAACTTTGATGGTTAAAAAAGCTATTTAATCCAAGTCTTCTAAAGAGACGTGATCGCTTTTATTCACATATATAAACATTAATCAATGCACATGCTGTATATAGAGCACACCAAACATTTATACTTTTCCTTAAGGGGTTAAATATACATGTATAAAGTCATTTTATTTAGACACAGTTATTATAGGCGATTATAGACATCACGGAGCCGCTAGTGCAATCATGACCTATGAGCAGACATGACTTGGATATGAATAGATTGATTGAAACATTAGGAAACTGGTGTGAAGAAAGAGAGTTGGCTTTATTTCTGACTCTTGTGGTCTGACCGCTCACCTGATGCATCACAACCAGTCCAAAACCTCTCCAAATCTCCAGACTCATATGTGACCCTGGAGCACAAACCCAGTGTGAAGTCGCTGGGGGATATTTGTAGCAATAGCCAAAAATACATTGTATGGGTCAGAACTATCGATTTTTCTTTCATGCCAAAAATCATTAGGATATTAAGTAAAGATCATGTTCCATGAAGATATTTAGTAAATTTCCTACTCTAAATATATCAAAACTTAGTTTTTGATTAGTAATATGCATTGCTAAGAACTTCATCTGGACAACTTTAAAGGCGATTTTCTCAATATTTAGATTTTTTTGCACCCTCAGATTCCAGATTTTCAAATAGTTGTATCTCAGCCAAATATTGTCTCGATCCTAACAAACCATACATCAATGGAAAGCTCATTTATTCAGCTTCCAGATGATCTATACATCTCAATTTAAAAAAATTGACCCTTGTGACTGGTTTTGTGGTCCAGGGTCATTTATGAGTTTCTTCTGAAGTTCATTATCTGTCACAGTTTTGGAGAGGAGCATGTTTATCTCATTGCATGAACCTGATCTCTGTAAGATCCAGCGGATAACAAGGCTGTGATGTAAACTGGAGATTTGTCAACATGCAGCTTCTGTATAAACCAGTGATAAAGTTGTGCTTCCTTGATCTCTGGTGCTGGCAGCGGCTTCAGATGGTGTCGTCCCGGCTGTCACGTACCAGCCTCTTAATTCTGGGAAGTTCCCGTGCCTTTGGTGTTGAATAGAGGTGGAGAAAGAGTCCGAACTCTCATTTGCAGAAGCGGAGTGCCAGGATAAGAGATTTTGATATTTTTGGAGATATTCTGGATTTTTGGGGGGAAATTGTCTTGCCGTTCAGAACAGGATCAAAGGTATAGTTATAATTATTGCAAATTACTGCAAATACTGGTTGAACTTGTTAAAGGTACTTTTATAAAGAGTACTTATTATGGAAAAAAGAATTTACTTAAGTGTGAACTGAATGTAATGTTTTCAGACACTTATTTACATGTTAATCTCAATCAAATGAAAATGTATTTTAGATTACATTTATATTAAATGCAATTAGCTGAATTTTAGAGTGCTTTTTTGACCCACTTAAGTAGGACTTAAGTACACCCGTTTATGTAATTTCATAATTTTATTGTCTTATATGGTTAAATTGTACTGCTGAATGTACTGACAAGCATTTATGGTCAACTAAATATAGTTTAATGTATTTTCTGTTGAAACTTGTATATCATGTATTTAAATATATTTGTAATTACACATTTATAATGATGGAGTTGCTATTTAGTACATTTAAAATATATTATCTTGTAAATGTAATTGAATAACACAATGTAGTTAAAACTATTGGACCCCCTTTATATTAAATGTCTTACTACTTACATTTGAATTAAGTGCAACTACTGTGTACATTTTTACATTGTACTTATGTTTAAAAATACCTTCTTGTAATTAATTTCTGTAGTTACATCTGTAATTATCCTACCGCTACACATTAACCCACGCTTAAACCTAATCTATCCCTAACCTCGCCCGTATCCCACCAGTGTTTTGCAATCAACATGAACACAATAAGTACATTGTACCTAACAATTAAATTTTTTTTTTAACTTAAGTACATAGTAGTTAAAGGCAACTATTTTAAAGTGGGACCAAACTATTGTTTATTACCAAACTATATATTTAAATATCTTTGTAATTCGACTTTTGTAATGGTGAAGTTGCAAGTTAACTTTAACTTTAAATTTAATATCGAATAACACACTACAGTTAAAATTATAATCAAGTACTTAAGTCTGTTAGTATCAGTCACATCAAAATAAGTGTACTTTTTTTAAAGCACAACAAAAGATTATTAAAATAATGATTTAAAATGTACTTTAAAGTAAAACTTTTAATTTGACTCTATAACAAAGTGCACCTTTTAAAAGTGCACTTAAGTGTGTTAAGAGGCCTAAAAAAGGCCTACATTTAACTGGTATTTCATTAGTGTAAATTTAAGATGTAAAGTACACTACAAGTGCAAATTCAATACAAATAAAACACTTCTTTTTTTCACAAGGGAATGTTTGCATAATACCATAATCTTCTCGCATCATAACTTGAGTTGTAAACATTTGTGATCTCATGTGCAAAAAAACATGGTATTACCATTGATTTTACCATCTCCAAAAAATAGTTTATTAGTGAATTCAGCAAGTTACTTAGGATTTTTTCTCTTCCTCTCAATTTAAGGTTCAAGAGTGTGCAGTGAGGAAGCATTGTTATTAGTTATGACGAACCCTTATGCATACATTATTGAGCCTCTGGACCCCCAGAAGCCCGACCACAAGTTCTTCAACCTTAAAAAGCTTAAAGACCCCAGATATGGTAAGATGGTATTTTATATCTATGAATTGTTGAGTGAAAGTTACAGCGACTGTGCTGCTGGCAGGGTTATTGTATGGAAAATGACTTGAGTAGAGACATGACTGTGTCTTTCTCTATTCCTTTCTTTGAAGACCAGCTTCCCTTCTCCATCCGTGTGCTGCTGGAGTCTGCGGTGAGGAACTGTGACGGGTTCCTGGTGAAGAAAGAGGATGTGGAGAAAGTCCTCAACTGGAAGGTGACGCAGAGTCAGACCGTGGAGGTGCCTTTCAGACCGGCTCGCGTCATCTTGCAAGACTTCACGTAGGTTTTGACTGGATCTTCATAACCTGTAGCTTTTCATCTTCTGGTTACATACGTCTCATTGTTGGTTCTCTGTAAACAGGGGTGTTCCTGCAGTGGTCGACTTTGCAGCCATGCGTGATGCAGTGAAAAAATTACAGGGCGACCCTGAGAAGATTAATCCAGTTTGTCCGGCAGACCTGGTCATAGATCATTCCATTCAGGTCGACTTCAACAGGAAGTAGGTCTTCGCCATTTGTCGGAAATGTAAAATAGTTTTACATGGTCTGTCGATCAGAACAGACTCTGTTTGATGTCTGTTTTCATGTGCTGAGTTCTCATGCTGAAATGTTTTAGATACGTTCAAGTTGTGTTACTGGGTTCATTTCAAGAGTATTTGCCTTCTACAACTTATTTTTTTATCTCTTAAATCTAAATCAAGAACACCGATTGTGTTTGCGTAATCGTAGACAGCATGAGAAAATAACACCCTTGTGAAAAAGACTGTTTAGCATACTTTTAAAAAAAATAGTATTTTACTTTTTAGGTAATTAAAAAAAATATGTGCAAACTGAATATGTTTTCAGACACTTAATTGCATGTTATTACACTTAATTGCAATTAAATTAAAAGGTATTATAGATTGAATTCATGTTCAATTCAGAATCTTAAGTGCTTTTTGACCCACTTAAGTAGGACTTAAGTACATCTTCATATGTAATTTAATATTTATTTTGGTTGAACTGTACTGCCGAATGTACTGACAAGCATTTTTGGTAAACTAAAATATACTTTAATGTCATTCCAGTTGAAACTTGTATGTCATGTATTTTAAAATTTTGTACATTTAAAATATATTAACTTTACATGTAATATTGAATAACAATCTACAGTTAAAATTATAATGTGCTTTAGTATGTTAGTCAACAACACATCAAAATAAGTGTACTTCTTTAAAGCACGACTAAAG